TCTAAATAGAAATTCGACCCCTGTTTTGTGTTACAAATTATGTAGGAAGAGTAATTGATTAATTTATGACAAGAGTGCACCTCAAAAAATCTGCATCATAAATGGAGGTCTGATCTGTCACAAAAATTTCATGCACCCACTTTCAATCATTGAAACTTCTGTTTTTATGCTAAAAGTTCATTATAAAACATATAATCTAGTATTTTTCACAAAAAATGATAATATAATATTATCCTCTAAAAATTATAATATATATTATCCTCTAAAATATAATATCTTTTTTGTTACATCACATAGTTTAGTTATCATAAATGAGGTATCATTTGAAAGCTTACAAACTCAGAATTCATCCTGTGAAAACCGTTTTATAATTGAACGTTGCGTTACCATAGAAACGGTACTCTAAATTATTTTGTCAGGCTCCTCCCCTTTTATGCATTATTATATTTAATAATTTATGATCAAAACCTTTCCTAATCCACACAAAACACATATTGTCAGAAAGGTCTGTGTCTAGATATTTGGCCAGAAATGTATTAAGGGGTAAAGACTGTGAAATGCATAAAAAGCATTCTGAAGTATGAAATCTTGTGAGAATAACTTGTTGAACATCTCTTGCAGGGGGCGTACAAGTCATCCACCATTTGTTACAGCCCAGAGAAAGGCTCATGGACAGAAATGGAAGGAGAGGTGGCTGAACCTTTAGCCGGGCCGGCCTGTGCCACAGTCATACTGCCGGCCTGTTTACCATTTAACAAATAACTATATAGAAAAGAGGAAAAACCTGTCGGGATGGAAAGTCAATCGCTGAATCAATGAATCAAACCCATGAGGAGACTCTCCCTAAGGAACGCCCCCAGCTTTTGAACAGGAGGTGATGAGCTGTACAGATTATTATTTTTTTACTGGTCTGACAAGAGCACTTTGTTTCTTTCATACTTAAAAGTTTTAAACTGATGTAATCATCAACTTTGCGTATTTGATGCTCACGTGTGTTGACATTCAACTGCTCACATTCAATCCTTTTTTTATCGTAAATGTTTTTGCTTAACTTGGCATACAGTAGCGTACGCATACTTTTTTGAACCAAATCGATATATCTTCCATACGTACTTTGTATTTTGTGGAAATCGCTGATTCAGGCGATGCTGAAGAGGGTCGACAAAGGAATACTCTTGTTTTACAAGCAAAACTCATGATTCTGTGTACGCTGTAGAGTAGATATCAGCTATTTAATATATATCACACCACGTCTGCTTGTTATTAATATTGCAGCCATTCTTAAGTGGCATATTGTTATTTGTACAGATGAGAGGGGGATAAATGTCAATTATGAATTATAAGGGAAAAAAAACATTTCAGTAAAAGTTATGATTTATTGTTTGAACAATCAGTATGTTATTTATTTAGCCATGTGGTATATATGCATGGCGTAAAGTGGAAAGCTTATTGTGTTATGCTGTGGGTATATTTGTTTATGTTCATATCTGTTTATATCTCACAGTGCCTATTTTAAGCATCAGGCTGCTTTATTTCAGAAAATTGCCCATTATAAAATCAGACGTTTTAAATGATATAAATGATTGGCCTGATTGGTTTCTCTGAGACGTGATCTGAAATCGGACTCTGTTGCACTGGTGTTTGATGGCCCTTTTGATGAGAAAAGGGAATGTTTTTCATTGTTGTAAATAATCGCTTGCAGTGGAACATTTTTGTGCTCATGGGATTTATTCTCAAATCCTGTTATGTTCTTTACATTTAGTCTATGAAAATAAAAACTGAATTTCTGGATCAATAATCTGTCTAAGCTAAACCTCAACAACACAACGCCTCAATCTATTGTGTATAAAACTGTTTATGTGTTTGCAGTATTACAAGAATTTCTCTGTTTCATAGCAATGTGCAATAATGTTTAATTTATTGATTTGAAAAACAATATCAGATAAGTTTGATGAAATGTTTGAATAGATTTTAAGGCCCAAGTACAGCTAAAACATGACGATGAATGAAATCTTTCAGCAGACATACAGTAAAGTGGGCTGTACTGTGACAAACTGAAGGTAAGAGATGAGTAAGAAATGTACAATGCTTGCCTTTTACAGCCAGAATTCAACTGGAAATAAGGTTAAGATGATAATTTGTCACCCTTTCCTGGTTTTTGACCAATGAGCAATATTATAACAAATCCTGTAGATCTTGGTTAATGTTTCTAAAATGTTCTCTATATTTAAATATTAAAAGTTTTATACATTAATGCAGATTAAGATAAGCTAACAATGAATATAGTCTATATTTATAAATTAACATGAACCAGAATTTACACATGCAATAGAAATCTGTAGTTCTGTTAGCGATTTTTTTATATTACAGGGATTGTATTCACCCAAAAAAAATAAAATTCTGTCATCATTTACTCAGCCTCAAGAATATGGGAAACCAAACCGTGTATGAACCCCATTGACTTCCATAGTATAACTCAATGGGTTCCAAATGTTTGGTTACCCATATCCTTCAAAATATCACAACTATAGAAATTCATACCGGTTGGAAATAACTCGAGGGTAAGCAAATGATGACAGAATTTTCATTTTTGGGTCAACTATGTTCTTCAATCGCTATATTTCTGCAGTCCTGTCATTCCTCTCCTGTACAGGAGGTGGCAGCGGACCGCTCGACCACTCTAAACGTAGACGAAGAAATGTTTGTGTACATGTGATATAAAACAACTTTTGAAATTAAGAAACCTAATTCATTTATTTGTCATTAATTCTTCGCAACATCATCATCATGTGTCGCGTATGATTTTATCTCTATTCAATGATTGTAAAAGTGAACGAGCGATCGCTTTGTTTCTAACTATACTAAGTGCTTGTCAGATTTGACTGAATAATGTTTAAGACGCGGTCATATGCCGTTTTAGACTTTGAACCCAAAACGCATCCAATAAACTCCTCTAAGAGCTTGAAATAAGCAAAAACAAAAAAGGGGAAGATTTGACATTCAGAAGGTCTCAAAATAACGTTCACAATGCCAGCCATGAAGAAGAACAGCAGTGTGGAAAGGTAAGACTTGAACATCTTCTATCATGAGATATCTACCTCATTGAATACAAGAAATACAGCTGTTTTTGTGCTGACACACGAGCCCTACATGTAACTAGTTGAGTTGTGGATGTGTTTTCCCCAAGACCAAAGCTGGACTGGAGGTTTCTGCAAAGGTTCTGCAGGATTCTGAAGATCCTCTTCCCATCCTGGTCCAACCAGAGTGTGCGGATGTTCATCACGCTTCTTGGAGTCACACTTTCAGGTAATAAACTTTTAACATCTGGTCTGAGTTATAATGGGGGTTGTTTTTTTCAATGTATTTTTCTTTTCTTTTAGTCCAGCTTGTGATTTATCAAGTGGGTCTTATTCCGAGTCAGTTCTACGAGGTTCTGTCTGAGAAGAGCTATGGGAAGTTCAAAGATCTGGTGGTGTTTGCGGTTCTGCTCATCCTGGTTAATTCAACCGTGAGTTTGGTCTTGTATTGGCTGTTAGATTATCCCGAGCTAATCATAATGCAAAATTTATGCCAATATCGTTTACCTTTGAGCCTTGCCTCAGAGAGGCAATTTAGAAACTTACCAAATTGTTTTATTGTGGGTCTATGCAGCTGTCTTCAACATATCAAATATGGGATAAATTGAGCAGCAACATTATTGATGGTCTATATTGCTTTGGATAGAAGTGTCAGCTAAATATCCAATCAACAATTCATAATAAATCACTAATCAATAATATATCTGTTCCTCAGCTGAAGAGTCTAGACCAGTACATCTCCAGTCTGCTGTATGTCAGCTGGAGAAAGTCTTTAACTGAAGAAATCCATAACACATACTTCAAGGGACGCGTTTACTACACCCTCAACATACTGTGCAAAGACATCGACAACCCGTAATGTATTCACACTACATTTGTTCATGTGGTTACACTTCAGTACTTAAAGGGATAACTAACCCTTTAAGAAAACTTCATTGAATCTAATCTGTTAATGGTTTATTGTGTTAAGAGACCAGCGCATCAGTCAGGATGTAGAGAGGTTATGTAAGCAGATGAGCACTATGGCGAGTCGACTTCTCATCTCACCGTTCACTGTGACCTACTACAGCTATCAGTGCTTCAACAGGTCAGAGAGATGTGTGTGTGTGGTCTATATAAGATATCATCTGATTGTATTTGGCTGTATTCATTGTCATCAGTGGCCATTAAAGACATTTAAATATTCTGGACTCTTATAATATTAAAAAAGTATTTAGTAATTATGCTTTGTAATAATGAGTTGAATGATCTCATAAATAATTTTAACCACAGTTATAATACATTCTAATACTTATCTATTCATTGTTACTCATTTAGAAAGTATGATGCATTAAATCACATGACAAACTACACATTTTCAGCCAGACCGATATATCGGCAGACCGATATTATCGGCCGATATTAGGCATTTTACAAACTTTTACCGATTGTACATTTTACAATCGGTATCGGCAGTCATAATGGCCGATAAATGAATATTTCAAAAATAAAATAAAAACGGATGAAACACGCTTGAACCATGTCATGAGTGTTGGAGTTGTATAGTTCGTCCACCAGAGGGCACTCTACACCGTTCCTGTTGGCAACACTCATTGAGTTGGTCACGATACATGCATTGCTTGAAAAACAATTAAAAGAACATCCCATTCAGTTCTCTTAACTCAAATAAGCATGACAAAATTTGTGACTATCATGTCCAGTTTAAATAAATAAATAAAATAAAATATCGGCCGATATATCGGATTTTAAAACCCCAAAATATTTGTATCGTATCGGCCTTCAAAATCCTTTATCGGTCGGGCTCTATAATGCATTAATATCATACATTATCAATACCTTTATAATGCTTTATACAAGCAAAGTGCTACTAAATACTCCCTCTAGTTTTGCATTGAAAGATTTGATAGGATAACTTTTTCTTACTTTTTTGTTGCCGTAGTGCGGGCTGGATTGGGTTTGTCAGCATCTTCGGCTACTTTGTGGCTGGAACCATCGTCAACAAGATCTTGATAGGACCCATCGTGTCCATGCTGGTTGAACAAGAAAAGCTGGAGGGAGATTTTAGGTAGACCTGTACAAAACAAGAGAAATATAAATGACATTCTGAGATGCTAAAGCAGATGGCACATATTTTATCTGATCGTTTTCTTTGAATGAATTAATCTCTTTCCAGGTTTAAACACATGCAAATAAGAGTGAACGCAGAATCTGCCGCCTTCTTCAGGTTAGTATGCATGCACTTTTAGTATTTCTGCCTGCAGTGATCACTCGATTTCTCTCACATACTATCAAATCACAGAGCAGGAGAGCATTTGTTGTGTTTTGGATCAGGGCAGGGAAGGTGGAACACATGCGGACCGACCGAAGGCTGCAGATGCTCTTATCCACTCAGAGAAGCCTGATGAACAAAGAGCTCTGGCTTTACAGTAAGACAGCATTCAGAAGATTGTACAGTATATAAAATGTGCAATATTCCTTACTATTGTTACTGAAAATAAGAAAAATCTCATTTAACTCTGAACCGTCTTCAGCCAAAAAGTGTCATTTTGCAGGCATTAAGCTGCCTTAATATCAACTAGAGCCCGACCGATAAAGGATTTTGAAGGCCGATACCGATACAAATTTTTTTTTAGAATTTTGATATTTTAAAATCTGATATTCCGATATATCGGCCGATATTTTTTTTTATTAAATATTGTTGGATTTCACACACGTGTAAAAGAAAAGCTAACTTTTCTGCACAAGATACGTTTGATACTTTTTCTCTATGTCTAAATGTTCACTCCTCGCAAGTATAACTTAAATTTTACAATGCAGGGACTGTAACTAGAGATATGCTAGCTATAAATACAGTAATCATTACTTTATTTAGGCAGAAAAAGTTCATTGTGGTTTCCAAGCTCATTAATGTTAACGTTAGCGGTCTTCCACTGATGATATAACAATATTACAGGCCAAGGAGAGATGATTGAAGCGTGTTTCGTCCGTTTTTATTTTATTTTTTAAATATTCATTTATAGGCCATTATAACTGCCGATACCGATATTATGGAAAATGCCTAATATCGGCCGATATATCGGTCTGGTTCTAATATCAACCTATTTTAAAACAATGCAGGCTTTCTGTTCTGTTCTCTACAAATGCGTATTGTTTTGCTTCTTTAAAGTTGGGGTAAACACCTTTGACTATCTGGGAAGTATCCTTAGCTATATAGTCATCGCTATCCCCATCTTCGCTGGACATTATGACGGCCTAACACCTGGAGAACTGAGTGCTCTTGTCAGCAAGGTGAGTTCCTTCAAACTATAATTAATGTGGCTGAAAATGAAAGGTACATTAGAGACGGCAATTTTCGAAGAGGCTAGCAATAGGGAGCTAGCTTTGAGAGCATAAGATCCCACCCTCCCTTCAGAACATCTCAAAAGCCACGCCTCCTCCAAACCACATGACCGCATGAAACACATAACATTACAATAATAATGAACATAAACAACTTAAAGAGGTTTCACCTGTATCACCTGACTGCTGCAGATTGATTTCGGTGTTGATGGTGTTGCCATTGAAACGCATTCATTTGAGTCACAAACCGTGTATAATGTCACAGGTTTCCATTTTTTTTCCAGATTAAAGTAGTTAATGGTGTGAATACAGGATAAGCTCGTTGTTTTGGTTCAGGAGAAATTGTAAAAGGTGGCTGCTGTTTCGTTTGCGGTGCTCTGTGATTGACGTCTGTCTAAGGGGCCATTCACACAGAAAGCGGTTTTGCTTTGAAAAACACGAGGAAAGGAAAAAACGCAAAGTCTCGAGACGTGTTTTTTTAAAAGCTAAACTACTTTTAACTTGAGGACCACATTTTTAGAAAACCGTGTCATGCCCGAGATGCAGCAAAAGATACATGTCCGCCTAGAGCGTGTTTACATCGAAAAATAATGGAAAAGTAGCGCAGTGGAATCGAAAAACGCGTTCTGTGTGAACGGTCCCTAACTCTGTATAGCATGAAACTTAACTTCTTGATTGCTATCAGAATGTGAAGAGACTATCAACCAGCAGTGCTTGAGTAAATCTCAGCTGTCCACAATGTTATCCACGTCACGTGTCTCTTTCAGAATGCTTTCGTCTGCATCTATCTGATAAACTGCTTCACACAGCTCATCGATCTCTCAACCACTGTGTCTGATGTCGCTGGATACACGCACAGGTGAGATGCACTAAGATTGCTTAAAAGCACATTTTATTGCATAAATGTTATGAAAGCTTATTGGTTAGCTAAAAAATTGACTGCTTTATCTTTCTGTCGGTTCCAGAATTGGAGAATTGCGGGAAGCGATGGCAGACATTGCCAAAAAACAGTGTGACTCTGAGCGGTATGATACGCTCTCAAAGGACGAATCTGACAGGTAATTGAATGATTGAAACTGAAACGGGTAAATTAAACTACTTGAAAGTTGTTTAGATTTGTTCACATAATTTTAAGACTCGAAACTGAGATCTAACGCAGATCTAAAAGAGTTCCTACAGTAGTAGTCCAGAGTGAGCAGTGTTATTTTATTATCAATGATATACTATTACCATTTTGATTCTATTTTCGTTTTTTCATTGTAAATTTAAATTTTGTATGGTTTTAGTTAACAATAATCATTTTGCACAGTAAATGCTATATCTTTGTGTATCAATGCGTTAATCAATGATAATTCATTCTAGCAATGTGTTAATTAATGTTAGCAATGTGTTAAAACATGCTAGCAACAGGCTAATTCATGTTTGCAACGTGTTAGTAACTTGCTAATTCATGTTTGCATTGCGCTAAACATGTTAGCAACATGCTAATTAATGTTAGCAGTGTATTAAAACGTGTAAGCAACGTGTTGTTTCATGCTAGCAATGTATTTAAAGCTGCTACAAACATGCAAGCAAAAAAAGTTTGTTCCAATGAGTTATCATTGTCACAATCTTGTTAACAATTAAAATAATTCTTCATCAGTGATCGAGAGCTTCACAGTGTCCCAGAAGACACCGCGTTTGTTCTGGATCGTCTCTCCTATAAATCACCCAGATCAGAGGAGCTGCTGGTGAAGGACCTGACCCTAAAGATCAGTCAAGGAATGCACCTGCTCGTGGTGGGAAACACGGGAACAGGGAAGACCTCCCTACTGAGGGTCCTCAACGGCCTGTGGGAACCATGCAGCGGTACACTAAAGAGATGGCAGAAGATAAAACGATGAACAAATCTGCATCGTTGAATCATACTGCTTTCTTGTTTCTCAGGTTCTGTGGGTATGACCACATGTTTTGGGCCGAGGGGTGTCCTCTTCCTGCCACAGAAAGCATATCTTACTGATGGCACTCTCCGAGAACAGGTGAGACAAGAAAAAAATGCAGAAATCTACATATAATTTTGTTAGTCAATAATATGCTTATGTCATTTTGACAGTGACACCGATTTGCTGTCTTTCCCTTGTAGGTTATCTATCCATTAAATGATATACATCCTTCCTCAGGTACAGATGAACCTAATTTAAATAGTATAGCTCAAATTATGCATGTAATTTAATTTAATGTGTTATAGAAATAAACTTGCCTTATTATATTGTGTGTCAATTAAACTGCACACTTCTGGTGTTGTAAATGTAGATTATAATGACATTACTCACTTTCAACCAATATAAATTCTTCTTCTAGGGTCTATAGATGATGAAAGAATATTAAAATACCTGGAACTTGTTGGTTTGGTATGACTGATCTTCCTCTTTATAATTTTCTGTCTTTTAAAGCTGTTTTGTAAGCAGCATATTCTTGTGTTTTTTTGTATGTCAGTCGAACCTTCTGACCAGAATCGGAGGATTGGATACACAAGTGAACTGGAACTGGTGAGAAATGAGTTTTAATATCTGCATATGAAAAATTTGGGGTGTTTTAAGAACATGAAAAAAGGGATTCCCTCTGTTTTTTTTTTTTAACAGGTATGATGTTTTATCACCAGGAGAAATGCAGAGGCTTTGCTTTGCTAGATTGTTTTACTTGCAGCCCAAATATGCAGGTCAGTTCCTGCATAGCCTCGTCAGATTTCCTGTAGTTTTAATAGCTATAATCAGTCAGATTAGTCCCATTCATGTGACCTGTGCTGTGAGTAAAACGTGCAGTTTGATTTAGTACTGGATGAGGCCACGAGCGCTCTGACGGAGGAGGCTGAGGGTCAGCTCTATAAGGCCTGTAAGCAGCTGGGAATGACCCTCATCAGTCTGGGTCACCGAAGCACTCTGGAAAAGGTGACTATATGTGACCTTTTCACATTCACCAACACAACACCACAAACATTACTGTGAACTTTTGTTTGGCCTGTGCATAATTTATTTTATTTTATGTGTGCTCTTTAAACAGCATCATGATGTCATGCTACGACTGTGTGGAGGTGGCCAATGGGAGCTCACCAAACTCAGAGAGGCGTGAACCTTCAGACTTGCACTATAATGAGAAGATATTGGAAGAAATCTGTTGTAATGTTTACTTGACAGCATACTGTCAATGTCTTTGTTTTTTTTTGTTTTTGATACACTAATAACACTGGTTAGATAGACCATAGTTATTGATGTTGTTATGCAAGTATATGCTGCTTCATTCAACCTTTATTGGTTGTTTCATACCAAACAGATTTGCAACCAAAAAAAAGGGATTGAGTAATGAAGAACATTTAAGAGTATTTCAAAAATATTTTGAGAAAAAGTGCCTATAGAATGTATTTCAAATATATATTTTATAAATATTAAATATTTTATAAACATGACTGATAATAAACTATTAATGTCCACACAAATGTCTACATGCTGTGTTTGCTACAAAAAAGTGCAATTTCTCTGCCTGACCATTAGAGGGCCAACATTTTCCAGCCACAGAGATGAATAACAATTCAAATCCATTAAATAATATTGCATGAATGTATTAATCTCAGAGTTAAAATATTAACTAGTTCTCTTTCCTAATACAT